GTTAAAACTTTAAGCTTTGATCATGGGAAGCTTTGAATATGGAAAGCTATTTCAGAAAAATGTTTCTGTCCAATTGAATACAACCATGACTAGAATCCCGTGACTACAATTTCAAATCTTACAAACTGTATACTGTTTGTATTTACGAAAATATAGAAATAATAAGTTTCCAATTTCATACGACGACACTATTCTTCTGCAGCTCTTCATGTGCCGAGTCAAATTTTTGTCCTAAATAAATTGTACGAACAAATATTTATACATATTCTTTAAATGAAGCGGTGTATCCGGGAAGGGAATAGCAAAAGTGTTATTGAAAGTGAGCGAAGAAGTTGTACAAAATTACATCCCCAAAATACGTTTGTTCGAAATAAATACCATGTGAAATAAGTTTTCAGGYGGAGAATCCCACATCATTTTAAAAAGGTAACTTGAAAATTTAGACTAATTATTGCCAGCCACTTCGTCTCCGTTGGTGTCGACAGTAGGTGCACTTGTAATGTCCGTGTTCTTGAGAAGGGAGGAAAGCGCTGACACCTGATCATCTTCACTGCTGTCGCTAAAGTGAGCACTGTCACTGTCGTACAGCCGACCTCCAACCAGCGCAGTGCGCAGGCGCGCCTTCATTGAGGAGCTGAGTGGTGGAATTTGATCGCGTGGTATCAGGAAGTTGGACAAGTTAAACAAGTCAACGAAAACCTTGTAACGATCACTGGAAAGGAAAGAATAATAAATCTCAAAGTAAAACTTGATTATTCGAGGAAATATCGAGAAACAATTGAGAAAAATTGAGTTGTAAACCAACCTGACGGTGGACCGAAGGTACTGGTACCCAGACGTCCCGCCAGTGCCCATTTTACTGCCAATCATGCGCTGAACCATCATCAAATGATTGTCTGTGAAGCAAAAAGAAATAGTTCTGCTAAGCATGCACACAGTTGAATCCCCTTAACTGAACGTGACTAGGGAAACGAACAACAGCTCGAAGTACTGGGAGGCCCAGTTGACTGAAAAATGGTGGTAAGTAGGTAAGTAATTGCATGAAAAAGGTAATTCTTGAGAAATGGCTGTAAATTCAAGTTTGCGACTGTGATATTTCTCTGACTGACATTCGGAATGGGCCAATTTAATAATTCAAAGAGTGATTCCATCATGACCCCATTGAGAAATTCAGGTAATATTCCGCAACCAACTGTGGAAAAATGGATGCCAACCATACTAAATGATTGCGAACTAGACTTACATCGCCATTTGATTAAATTTGAGTCGATGTCCATCAGCAGTTGAAGAATTTGAAATGGTTGGTTAAAGCGCGGCTCGTCCCTACAAAAACAAACATAACTTCTCGATAAGTTTGATAGGAGTTAGGCTACGGAAATAAGATAGCTGCAAAAAGAACGAAAAATTAACAAACGTCCCATTTAGCAGCGTGTCTTGCTGAACTCAGTCTAGAATTTATCTGCTAAAAAGAGCGAATGGCTATCTTAACCTCCACTGCAGAAAATTGTTATTTAATGCGCTTATCAATCCTGTCTTTGAATATTGCTGTTCGGTTTGGGGTAACGCCCCAAACGATCAACTGCTGAGAATACTTAGAGTGCAGAAACGTTGTTACAGTAGGTTAATATTAGATGCTAGTTTCCACGATAACTCGGTTCAAATGTTCAAGAAACTACAGGGGATGCCAATTGATGATGTAATACGCATGAAGAAATTGTGCACGATGTTCAAAATTGTGAACAGAGAGTGTCCGCATTATTTTACAANTGAAAATCTAGTTTTTATAATTCTTTTTAATACAGCTCACAATGTAAACTACTGGGTTACCAGTAATTGTGTTAGCTATTAAAGTTTATTAAAGTTTTTTTTTTTTTATGTCCAGGTAAACCACTTCTTCGAGAGTTTCGTGTCTCATATATTCCCGCAGGATTTGGTAAGTTTTTGTCTCGTGGTATCTTCGTATTTTTCTTTTTCCGTCTTATATGTTGGTACATTCTTGTAAAGGTCGTTTCTCTGTTTCTTAGGAATCTACTTCTTCTTCTTCACACATTAAAGAGTAGTTAAATTGAATGCTGGGTCGAGCATTATTAAAGCGGGCCCTTGCCTCTTCAACCTACTACGAAAGCTAGGATTTCGGGCAAAAAGGCAGAACAAGGTCGTGACTAGTTACCGTGAATGGCCTATGTGCGGTACACGATCTACTAAACCCCCTCCTCCCCTCCCCCCCGACTCTCCCTCCCCACCCTCCTTATACTCTCGAAAGTTACGGAAGACCATGATGCATCTGTCTAAGGAGCAAGGTGTGGCTAATTCATTACCCGTCGTGCCAATGAAACTGAACGAAGGAAGCAGACATAATTAAATATTTTAATTCTTACCTATAAAAGTAAATCATCAATGCCCCCTGCATGGCTTTATGAGAAAACCTTCTTTCACCTGCAACGAAGCAAGAAAATTGACCGGTCCTCAAACACTTGAATATTATCCAATACCACTAATGTCATATCATCGCTCTATTCTCTAAATATTCAAGGTACAACACTGCAGCCTAAATTTCGTTTTTGTACTTAACGAGAAGTTTGGTGCTGTATGTCGCTTGCAACTGAACTGAAGGGCCGACTGGTACCTTTTACGTAAACTATAGTTACGTTAAGATTTGAACAGCCAAAAAGTCGTCCTTATCTACACCAACTATATCCAGTCTGGTCCTTTTACACCTTATCTTCCTCAATTTGGTATTCTGCCCCCCCTTCCCCCCAGCAAGCTATATTTCTAAAGTATCTCTCTATTATAAGGCCGGTTTCTGGATCGTAAAAAATGATAAAAAAAAAATCGTGCACTGTAGCTAGTTGCAAAACAGAACTGGGCACCTTCAAAACAGTTTACCTCGAGCAACAAGTTGGTTGTGTCTCTCCTCACTAAAGATTGTATCAAAATGATCCTGTTGACATAATTGACATAATGTTAAATACAACCACGTGATTACCTTTCACTATTTTAGTTCAAACGGAACGTTACTGCTTTTTAGTTGACACAAAGGGTATCAGCAAAAGCCTAACAACAAATTACATCAAGGTTGCGTCGGTGAGAATAAAAAAATTGCGCGGCCTACCTCTTGTTTTTTAATCTCTGCGAACAAGATCCCTCGCACTTCTTCGTCTTCTTCAGCCTGTAAATTGTTTGAATAGCAGGGGTTTCAATAAAATTTCAAGTAGGCAGCTGGTTAGTGAGAGTAATCGACCGTACCAACAAGGGGCCGTCAGGCCCCTTACTCTAGGGGGGTCTGGGGCATGCCCCCCCCGGAAATTTTGACATCTAGAAGCTCTGAAGTTCTGGAGTTCTGGAGACCAAGTTGAGTGCAAAAGATAGAGGAAAACTCCCTATGAACAGCAACATTTTTTTTTTTTTGGCAATACTAATAAGCTGAAAATGGAAGTTTGCATGCATATCCTGGAAGTTTAAGGTCACTTTCACTAAAATAATGGGGCTAAACAGAATCACTTACTACCGGTAAGAAAGCGTCCAGTTGCGTTTTTAATCTTTCCATTTGTCTTTGTTTATTTTACCGCCAACCGCTAAACAGTTCGCGGGTGAAAAACATCCCAAGCTTCTCTGCCTATCCACCAGGACACCCGCCAGACAGGCGCCAAAACCGTGATAAGATCAATTTGCAGCAGCTTTTAACTCATCAGACTTCAAATGCGAGTGGAAAAAATGATAAAACGCTTAAGGTGGCTCGTACTAGTTTCCTCGCGCGGGGAACAGATAACTCTTGCGTCACGCGCGGGAGAAACGTGCGAAAGAAGCGCGAGATTAACAGACGAAAATTTAAAACAAAGATGGCGGCGCGAGGAATTTTTTTCTGCTTACGTGAGAAGTTTACCTAAGAGCTTGTATTTGATGTGTTGAGCGGTCACTGTAAATGAAGGAGATAGAAACTAAGATAAAGAAGACGATTTTCGGAGAGGTAAAGGTTGCTTCACTTCGCATTTAAAAGAAATATTCAACCGATATGAAGTCTTGCGACGGCGAAAAAAGAAGAACTCAAGTGAAGGATAATCTACCTGAAGTGGAAGAAGGCTTTGAAACTTAAAGGAAAATGATATGATATAGCCAGAAGTCGTGTGTAGGATTTTTAAGATGAGCCCGGAAGGCTGTCTTTGACAGCTGTTTAATGATTTTCTTAGCAGTAAACGTCTGTAAACATTAGATCGTAGGCGCGCGCGCGAGCACACGCAGTTGTCAGCGGTAGCTATAACAGATCATGAAAAAATGTCGATCTTAT